TTGTAAATACGGAAATTTAGTTTATCACAAAGTACATCTGACCTAACGAATCTGATTGTGAACTATGTAGCATGACGTTTATTCATGTTGTAGTATGGTGAATACTGTGTGCGCATTACTCCAGTTATTCGAAGGATCGTTTGAAGAGAATCAGAAACATAGATGGATAAAAGCTTTTTCTCATGTATATTGAAAGTCGAATTCACAGAATCTCAACTACAGTATTCCTTCTGATTTCAATGTTTATAAGCAGTCTCCTTAAGTAAGGTCGTTGTTCTTTCAGTTTCACGAATTAGTTTCATGTGACTGCTAACCACTTTCAATAAAAACTTTTATTGGATTTCTCACGATTCCTTATCAATTCAGTCCTTTATATTGATTCGACTGTCTCTTAGTAATGAATATTTGGTTAGATTTCCCCTCCTTCTCAATGTAACCACATTTTAATCGGTCGTGTAATGCTTGATCCAAGTTGGTTTCACTTAAATAAATCCTTTTTAGAAGGAAGTTTGATCATTTATTATGACACGGAGAACTGTAAGTTTCTTGTGATGTCGTAATCACTGAAATCCTTGAAAAATATGCTTGTGAAATTCACGTTTATATATTCATTTAGTGAAGCCACTGTCACATTGAGGATATTCGACAATCAACTATGAGGATATCTATGAACATATTACGGATATGTTTAACATCAGAAATAAATCAATTACATTCCAAATACTCCCATTTCCATAAATTTCATTAACAGTCCGATAATCAGTAAACTTCAACTGAATCATCGCTAAGTGATTAGTAATTCAATGTATTAATGCTACTGATAACTAACAGAGTAATTTCCTTTGTTTAGTGACCTAGAGATCTGACTTCAGGTTGATCGTTTACTGCTTGGTAACCAAATATATACATATATATATCGCTAATCTTCGTATATAATCATCGACTTACATCGCATTGGTGAATAACGGAATTAAATAAGTCAAATACAAGAATGTAGTTTGAATATGAATACTTTGTACAATCATTGGTTGGAAAGAGTAGCGAAATTAAATGACGCGTAATCGAGAAGGTGAGTGAGCCAACTCAATTTAACCAAGCGTGAATCGATATTTATAGTCCGACAAAAAAAAGTTACAGACATGAGATAAGTTAGAAAAAAAATGCACATTTATGCGCTTACATAGAAACAGTGAAGGTTAATTAGTGAATAATCGACAGGGTAGAAATGTGGTTTAGGAAGAATGAATAGATTGATTTGTCCATAGCACTAGCCCTTACACTTTCATGTTTTTAACACCTATAATTTACATGATGTACATGAACTTTCAGTTTGTTTTCTTCAGTCTAAAATATCTTTATATGTTCCATTTGACAGAATGAATAATTACACAATAAAGGGAGCTACATCATATCAGAATTAATATGGTCAGCATCCATATTCTTAGCAAATCCATAACTGAAATTTAGCTTGGTAGATAGTTTTTTGTATTTGAGTTGTTTATCTGAACAAAAGGCACTACATTATCAATAACAATCAAGTACAAACTTCTTGATTAGCAGGTAACTGTAGAAAATATACAAAAGAGAGTGGTGAAGTAATGAAGCTTATCAAGCAAACAAACGTTAAACAGAATATCACATATCATACACCTCAGTAGAACAAGTAAACTGATAGAAATGTAACATTCAAAACAAGGGAAAAGCCTCACAGTACACCATGGAATTACTAAGAATTCCTTACATATAAATCTGTCTTCGACATTTTGTCACAATCAGAGTTCAACGGACTTTTAAATGATATGTTCCACAAAACAATTTATTATTTCCATCAATCTCATATACCCTTCAAACTGTATATAACACAGTCTTCAATAAACTTTCCTCTTCTTCTCACGGTTGTTCTAAAGCAATCTGTCAATACGTACAAAACTATATAATGACAACAATAATATATCTATCCTTTGTATTCGGCATCATTGAAGCTGACTATTTGACCATCTGGATTATTCTTTATCTCAAATCTGAAAAGAACAATTAATCTTCATGAATACGTTGATAAACATCATCGTCCAGTATGTTATTCATCAATTACTCTTATTTTCTAATAAGCATTGTTCACACTACTCACAACAAATACAAAGCATATATGTATATAGCTTGTAAATTTCTACTTGTCTAGATTAATTCACCTACTTTACACATTATCATAATGATCAACAGAGAGATTAAATGATTTTTTCATACTCAACTACATTGTGATTGACAATTTTATTTATTTCAAAGCAATTAGTGATTCATATTTCAAATAACATGTAGAGTATCAATTTCTTTAAATGTTTAGGTATATTACGTTTGATAATTCCAACATCAAAGTCAGAATTTTCAATACCGATGTCAACACACTTCTACTATATGAGGCGGAATCTTGGAGAACTACCACAACCATCATCCAGAAGATACAAGTGTTTCCTAACAGTTGTCTAGTCAAAATAATTTGGATCAGTTGGCCAGACACTACCAACAACAGCCTACTGTAGGAGAGAACAGACCAGATTCCATTGGAGGAAGAAATCAGGAAGAAGTTTTGGAAGTGAATAGAACACAAATTGAAGAAAGTACCGAACTGCACCACAAAGCAACCCCTCACATGGAATCGTGAAGGCCAAAGGATGAGAGGTAGATCAAAGAACACATTACGCCAATTGATGGATATAGACATAAGAAGAATGAACAACAATTGAAAAGAACTCGAAAGGAAGGCGCAGGACAGAGTGGGTTGGAGAATGGTGTTCGGTGGCCCATTCTTTATTAGGAGTAACAGGCGTAAGTAAGTAAGTAAGTAAGTAACGTTTCATCATTCCAACTAAGATAAAACACTGGAATCAAACATGAATTCCTACTGACTATCTTAAAAAAACATGAAACATCATTGATATTCTATACACTCAAAATTTTATCCCATTCGTTGTATAAATTTCTCGAATAGCACAATTTATAAGTTAATCAATTTCATTGTTCAAGTAATATGGTTTAGAGTTTCATTTTATCAGTAGGTTGATACACTATTCACCAGTTTTGCCAAAAATTCACACATATCATAATTACTGATAGCATATGAAATGATTCAGTGAAATCTTTTCTGATTGAATTTATACCATCATGTTGCTTTCACGTCTATATGTATGAAGAAGGTGAATTTTCACACTTATCAGACTGTTTATGTTTCTATGAGATTCATGTTTAGTTAGAAATGATTTAACAGAGTATTTTAGTCACTTCCTTCCACAGAATGAATGCATTGTACAAATATAATGAATTATATCATAGTAGCCATTTTAACTCAAAGAGTTATGTGTCATTGTTCATTATAGTAAATTCTATTCTAATAGTAGATTTGTACGTCAGTACAGTCCTACTCTACAGATCTAAAACCTGAAGAACTATTACAACTATTATGAAAAAGGTACATGTATTTAAAAATAGTTGTTTACTCTAGATACTCAATATCCGTTGGTCGGATACCATCTGCAACACGCCATTGTGGGAGAGAACAAACCAGTATCCAGCTGAAGAGGAAATTAGGAAAAGATGTTAGAAGTGGATAGGAAATATGTTGTGGAAATCACTAAACAGCATCACAAGGCAAGCACTAACTCGGAATCCTGAAGGGAAGCGGAAAAGAGGAAGGCCGAAGAACACATTACGTCGGGAAATAGAAACAATTATGAAAAGGATGAATAACAACTGGAAGGAGTTGGAAAGGCTTGCCCATGACAAGGTCAGATAGAAAGTGCTAGTGAGCGCCCTCTGCACGTCTACAAAGAGTCACAGGCGTAATTATTTAATTACCATGTATAAAGTTTAACCGAACAAAGATTTTTACACAATGAAATCAATAAATATTCTTCAGTCATTTATCACATTTGCATCACTTTGATAATCCAGACAATAATAACTGTTCATAAGAATTATAAGCGAAATGGATAGTGGCTAGCAGTGGAATCCAGTTGGACACGCGTTTCGTTCTATTTGGGACTTGTCACCTGGATATACCTGCATCTCAGAGTTGATGTTTATTCTGGGATTCGAACCCATTACCTTAGCTACTATAATGCTTGTAAATCAAAACGATATCGAAACAATACACACAGTATGCATATATACTAATAACAGACTGATCCGTTACAGTCTTAAACATCAATAGGATATTTCAAGTAAAACAATACAAAGTGAATTGTTCATAGGAATGTTGCAAACACTTCTGCAATTTACTTACATACTACTGAATTAAAAGTTAACAGTATAACTTCAGTTTAGAGGTTGTGGAGATTGTTAAGTTTTTTTTTTATTGAGATCATGAACCGATTGATGTTAGACCACCATGGAAAATGTGGAAGCACTGGACGCCCGTTTCGTCCTATTGTGGGACTCGTCAGCAGTGCGCATCCACAATCCTGCTCGCGGGATCTCAATCCATATAATTTCAATCATATTATGATTAGGCATTACACTTCATTAATTATTCCCTTATCTGATTTGTTAATATAAAATTAACTAATGACAAGAATGTATATACCAATACACTTCATTATATCATACATAATAAGTGAAATATATGGATGTACTCAATCCAAGCATAATTGCTATAACATTACAAATATGTCTAACTGACATCTCTACATCAACACATCCACAATACAATTACATTGCATGTGTACAAATGAATAAGATCACATATTATTCTGACTCAACAACAACAAAATCCTTTGCCATGATTTGACAACTTACAATTTCAAAACAAATGCATCAAATGTATATGAATTATGATTGAACATACAATGTAACACATACAGTTTATTAATGTGATACAATATGTAGTTTGCACATTTTTTTGTTTCTAAACAACTAAACCTTAGAAAACTTGAATCTTAGTTTTGCTTTACAGAAATCAGTTGCTGCCTTCAATTCGATTCGAAATCATCTTGTTGTTGTCAACCAATATGAAGTTGTCAATACCCCAACAATTTTGGACAAAATTATTTATTGTATTAAATAGTTGTTTTGTTGTAAGTAAATCATCTATTCTCATCACTGTGATCATGTTTATCACCCTTTTTTAATCAAGATATTTGGTATTGTACTACTTGCATTGGGTATTAAAGGATTAGAAACATTAAATAGATTCGGTACAATTTTAAATGGAATCATACCGCCTATCATTCCAATAGCAATATTTATAGGATGCCTTATTTTAATTGGTACAATAATTGGTTATATTGGATTATGGAAACCAAAAAAATTCATTGTTATACTAGTAAATAATAAATTTATATCGATTATTTATGTAATAGCATATTGCATGTTTATGTCTTGCAGTGATTATTGAGATTGCCATAGCAACAGCGACAGCTACTACGGGAGAAAAAGTTAGTTAAAATATTATGAAGTGATTTGTTTATATTTGTTGTTATTGTTGTTGTTAAATAGTTTCAAACAGCCGCTAATCATTCAGTACTACAAGCTGTGAAACAATTTTATTCAAATCCTTATTGTCAAGTAGAAATGGATAAATTACAAAGAAACGTAAGTTATTTATGAAAATAACTCAGGTGGATGATTTTAATGGAGGTTTATTCTTTGAACTGGATGATTTGGTCATGAAGTTTTTATCATTCTTCTGAGAAATATCAAAGGAGTGAACAATGATAGGTTTAAAGGTCAACAAGAATCAGTCAACATCGAGTTCTACAGAAGAAGCTGTGAACTATATAGTGGAGAAATTCGAACACTTCGCTTCTACCTAAAGTTTATGCTGATGATAATGTCGTTCAGAAGAAGAATGATGAATACTCCACGACCAAACCATCGAGTTCAGAGAACAAAACTCTGTTACAAATATTTGGATTCAATAGTATTTTATAAATATACTTATATTCCATTTACTTTTAACAGTATAGATGTTGTGGAGCTACATCATATTTGGATTATGTAAAAACAAATAAAACTGTACCATTCTCCTGTTTTATTGGTAAATTAGTTTATGCAAGAGTAAGTTATAAATTATTTATGATTAATGATTTATATATCTAAAGTATAATGATGATTTTGATAAAGAATTCATTACTTACTTACTTACTTACGCCTGTTACTCCCAATGGAGCATAGGCCGCCGAAAACAATTCATTAGAGTTTCATTATTATAGATGTTACTTAATCAACTAATTTAGTCGATATAACAGATTCATATTAGATGAAATGAATGTAAACAGTTTATATTTGTTCATTGTTATCAGAATAGAATGACAATTAGGAAGTGATCTGTATAAATTGTCATTGTTACGTAATACAACTATGTCACTGAGAGGATTATCTCTGAACTCGTGTTCTTCGGTGAACGGTTTAGTTCCATGATACTTCTTATTTTGTATTATGATTTATCCTGTTTTCTGTGGTCATTTACATACAGTTCTCAATATTCATTCAAGCTAAATACATTATGTATATTATTATTATTAGTTACTTTACTCAGTATTATATTTCTGATACAATATAGAGTTATCGGTGGTCTAGTGGTTAGGCGCTCGTGCGTGAGACTAATAAGTCGTGGGTTGGAATCCCGCGAGGCGCGGTCGTGGATACACACTGCTGAGGAGTCCCATAATAGGATGAAACGGCTGTCCAATGTTTCCAGGTTTTCAATGGTGGTCTAGCTTTAATCGACTCATGATCTCAACTACTCAAACAAAGTATTTCAATAAGTTTCCGTTTCCTATTGCTTGATCGATTCTCACAATAACATATTGAATGGTCTCCAGTTATAAGTTAGCAGTTCAGTCATTCAACATCTGAATAATGTATGCTCTTTTCAATGCGTATTTCCGGAAACCACGATGTCTCTGATTGGGCTCTTTGGTAACTTGTACAACGAAAGATTGTACACTTTTTCAGAAACGCACCTGAATAGGTTATGAGATTAATAGACATAATGATCTGCTAAAACAAAAAAAAAATCTGTTGAAATATCTAGATGGCAAGAACAGGTAGCCCAGATATTCAAGCAAGCTGTCTTAAGTATTATACAGGTCTAAGTGAATGATTGTTGTCTTAAAAATTTTGCGATATGTTACCAGCTATTGAAGTATTGTATGACAAATCAAATGTTAGATAGCTATTCTATTTTTAATTAACATTGCATATTTCTATACAATCCGACGCTTAGTTATTATCTAGTCCTATTAGTCATATCATTATCCTTATACGATTAGTTGACAACAATATTCTAACGTACAAAATAGTACTTCTTGTATATCCTATATTTCCTGTTCAATATAAGATTGTGTAAAATCTTAATTTTACTTTTATAACTTGTGGCCTTGTGCTTTATTAATCTATAACGTAATGATACAGCCGATTAGAGAACAGTGAATTATCAACTGGACCAATGATACATAAAACCTGTACGAGTAGTTTACAGTGCTTATCGGTCCTCACATCTTCCTGTCTAGCCTTGCCTGTTAATTCCAGAACACCAATCTCAGCCTCTGCAATATGAATCATTATATTTCAAACATACTGGGTTTCTATGTTATATAAACAGACCACATCACACCATAAAATAGAAATTAACATTTGTACAAGTTCTATCTAAAAGTGGCTGTGAATGTGGGAGGTAGTAAATAATAGACTGGGTATAACTCAAGAATGGTAAATCGTCTAATAATAGTTCATAGATCCTAATAAAGCCTATGATAACTGGAACACGAATATCAGTAGTTTAGTTACCTAATTATACAATAAATAAAAATGTATAGTATTAGTTCATAAATAGATTCCAACAGATACCATTTATTTCGTCTGGTTCTCATCAGCTGCTTACAACCTGTGATATTTAAAAATCATAATTACATAATGGGTTTAAATGACTTAAATAAAAGGGTTTGGTTGGAAGTTATATTGAAGACACATTAGTATAGTAATAGCAAGGGTGTAAATAAATTGAATAGACCGAATATTGTAAATATATATATCTTATGTAAAAGAGCATTCTTCAACATTGATTATTATTATTATCATAAGCTTTATTCAATATTATATTTTTGGTACAATATAGAATTCTCAACACAAAGTATTTCAACAAGTTTCCGTTTCTTCCTTCTTGGTCGGTACATGAACATTTGAATAATGTGCATTCTTTTCGTTGTATATTGCCAGCAACAACATTGTCTCTTGTTGAGTTTTTTGTAACTTTGACAACGAAAGGTTGTACACTTTTCAGAAACGCAGTTGAATAGGTTATGCGATACATAGACATAATGATATATTATAGCAAACAAAAATAGATAACTTGTTGAAATATCTAGATGGCAGGAACAGGTAGCCTAGAAGCTCAAGCAGGCCGCTCTTTTGTGACAACAGTTCAAACGGTTACGAACAAGTGATTATATAATGAGTAAACATTGATAGGAATATAATGAGTAGAGCTCGATTGATGCAGCGAAAGAATATTTATCACCAAGGTAAGGAAAGATTAATAAATATCTCCTTTTGAACACATAAATCAAGTTTTTGGAGTCTGATAGTAACGGATTCAGCAAACTTCAAAAGACTGAAGTTTGGCTGTTTACTCATGACGACATAACATTTACTCAATGATCATTCGATTGTGTTGTGTTCACCCAAATATAACTATTGTTCAAGTGTTCATTACCTTAAATAATCGATTCATGTCAAATACAATACAAGTATCATAACTCAAGTATAGTATAATTATAATGGGATTATAAAGGGATATAATAATTAATGAAAATATATTCTTTGATTAGTTTTAGATAATTTCAATTATACAAAAGAAGTTATAATGTATTCAATAGTTAGTCAGTTAGTTTACAATAATCGTCACCATAATGAATGTATACTCACTTATGTAGAGATAATCAGATTAAGAAATGTTATAGAAACTATACACAAATGACATTTGAAATCATTCAAAGATCTCCATCATATTAAAAGATTAATATATTGAATGAAGAATATTCTTTAAGATCAATTCTCTTCAGGTTCAACCATTCAATATATCTAAATTAATGATCCAAAAATTGGTCAAGTTAAGGATAAAGTGCGATACATATGAACTGTATGAACATATGAACTGTAGGACTGTCAAACAAAATAGAATACAGTTGTTCATGTTGATATGACTTATATGGAATGCTAACTTGAATCTACATATATGTTAAATGAAATTGTTAAGATCCATGATCAAAAACAAATATGGATTAGATAGAATAAGAGAAATAATACGACAAAGTAGAGCCATCGTACATCATTGTCTTCAATGAGTTCCTATCTCAAAACAGACCTGGTTGAACTCCACTGGTAACGACTTCTCACTAGAACTCCAGGATATACCTCATGAAGCCAGTCACTAGTGATAATGATTATCCGATCAAATATTTAATGAAAGATTCTATTGATTTCGGTTTATCAATTAAGTTAAATTAGACAGAAACGACTTTCTATTCATAATGCGGTAACTAAATGCATGAAAATCATTTATTGTAAACATTTATTAATATTACAAAACTTTCACAATTCATATGAATTGCCTGTTATGAGATCTCTTATATTTCACTCATTAAATATTTAAATCACAAGACTATTATTATCATTATTATTATCACTAGTGGTAACAAAACTATTATTGCTTTTATGGTTTAAGTTAACAAAACGTAATAATTCGCCTGCCATACATTTATTATTATTTAGTTGAACACATAAATATTGGTACAAGGAGGCACAAAATAGATATACGCTACATAACTCATTCGATTTGTGTGAGAGCTTGGATATTGCTTGGCTTACCGAACCAAAACAGGTGGTTTTCGTAGAGGGCCCACACCCAGAGCCTTCAATCTAAAGGTCTGACCCACAAGGCAGTGGAGCAACGTAAGGAGATGCAGTCCCATGGTAATTGGTGGCCAATAATTGGTTCATATACCATTTGTTCCTCCAGGATCCTGGAGCCCATGGGGAGCATTGGTTTGAAATCAGGGTTTTTCAACTCCCCTAGGTAGATCCTCCATATCCACCAACCGGGTTAAAGCTCTTTACATCGCTTTTCATCCACTTGTAAACAACAGTAATGCCGTGAAAAAGGCAGTGAGTAGAACTTTCCTGGCAGTGGCTGTATACGCGTGGCCATGGGAGAGCATTTCGAGAGGGAGAGCTGACTTTCCCCACTCTCGGCCGTACTATGACATTCAGGGGCTAATTTCCATACACAATATCTAACTGATTTATTTCACTGAATTTATACGTAACAGAGCATCTACAAATGACACAACTTGACTCTTCTACAACTTTTAAACCGATGCTAAAGTTTACTACTTTACCACGTAATATTCCCCAACTCACTTAATATTTATTTATGTGTACCTTATTTTGGCCATTGTTATATAATACTATCAAATTATAAAACCGTCAGACCTAATAAGATTGTTGAAAACAGTTGTTAGCTCAGATACTCCTAATATTTTAAATACTATATAGAAATTTCTTAACTGTAAAGTTCAAATGAATATCCATAGTTTGATTTTAACACTTCACTTAACTTATCACTCATACATTGAAGACTTGTATACAAACCACATAATATTACTAAGTAATGAAACTTAATAGAAATTAGTATCAGAAGGAGTTTTGTGAAAATTGTAGTAAATTCATTAGTTGAGATCATGGGTCAATTGGAGCTGGATCATCATGGAAAACCTATTGTAGGACTCATCGGTAGTACGCACCCACGATCCCACCTCGTCGGATTTGAACTCAGAATATATCAGTCTCGCGCGCGAGCGCCTAACCACTAGACCATCGAATCACCGTCTAACGGTGCTAATGCCTAACTTCAACCAATCCACGAAATTGAGTCATATATTCACTATTGTCTTCAGTGAGTTACTGTTTCACAACTGATCCGGTTGAAGTGCACTGGTCACTACTTCTCACTAGAACTCCAGGATATGCATCTTGAGGAGTCCCACAATAGGACGAAACGGCCGTTCAGTGCTCTCAGGTTTTCCATGGTGATCTAGTTTCAACTGACTCATGATTTAAATCTGTGAAATTTCCAAAATCTCCACAAACCCCTTCTGATAATTAGTCCCTTTGACAAATTTAGATAATGCAATGAGAAGACGCAATACATTTCGAATAATCTGATCACGTATAATGTACTTCTTAAGACATTTTTATATGAAAATTAAAAGGTCAACTAATCAGGTTAAAGGTAAGCCGTAACGAAGAAAAAAAATAATGTGATAACCACTCTGGATAATAAATCAGTATTACCAAGTGAGGTGTTATGGTTAAGGACAAATTGTTTTTGAATGCATAAAGGGGGTTTCAGTTTCTGTATAGTGAAGGCTTCAATGAACCCTAGTATACGTCCTTGAAGGCTTTTGTACAACACTACAAATGCTAACATGATGTCAAGTTTCTGATCAGTATCAATCAAATGTTTCGCAATGGAGGATGATGTTTGTCTATCCTATGATCTTATTTGACCATTGAAATTCATTTGTTTTTGTAGCCATTTTGGTATGTATTCACTCATCCTTAATTGCAAATCACTATTGCTCCTTCCTATGTACATGTTACCATACATACATGTAAATTGATAGACACAATCGCTTATGTGCTGTTTGCGCTTTTAGTGAAACATAGACTATATCTTTTCAATAATGACACAGTTGGGCTGTATAAAATATTCGGTTGTTAGCTCATTTACATTTTCGTTTCAATATGACACTATTTGTATCACCTCTTGTTAGGATAGTCGGAAAAATATACCAATAATTATCGTGTTAAGTCTATGGTGGCCTTGGACCTTAAATGTACATTTCCTATTGGTCGATGTTTATTTCACTCGTTGAATATTGTACAAAATGTTGTTTTCTATTTTATGGTACGATGTGGTTTGTTTGTTTGGTATATAAACAAAGTATGTTTGAAATATAATGATTCATAACTCAGAGGCTGTGACTTGTGTTCTTGACTCAACTGGCTAGGACAGACAGCGAAGCAGGGCCAGTCAGGGCACTAGGTCGTCCTTACGTGTTTACGTGCCACTGTCACCGAATCGATCGATAAATAAACGCTGCGTATCAAACCCTGCAGTCACACCCGTTACAACACCTCTAAATGATAACATAATCTAAACTTGCTTAACATTACAAAATTGATTTACAATTATACAATTCATCACTTTCATTTTTCTCACTTTCTTTTTTCTTTTTCTTTTTTTTGTTTTTTTGTGTGTAATATAATCAGGGTTGTGTAGAAGCATTCAGTGATTACGCCCAACATTATATCGTTGCATTAATTACTATGTGCTTTGTATTTGGTATTATTAAAGCTATTTATGTGATTATCTCTATTTGTTTATTTAAAAATTCATTGACTAGAAAAAATGCATCACCATAAATCTTACTTATTTACTTATTTACGCCTATTACTTCCAATCGAGTAGGATAATGAAGATGATAAACACCAATTGTTCTCTTCTCTTTTCTTTCTATTCCTTTTAAAATTGTTTACTTAATACAACAACAATCATAAACAATCATGTCATCAATACAAATTGAATCATTATTGATTAAAGTAAAGTCATATATCACATTTGACAATCTGTATTGCATGGATACTGTTGTTGATTATTTTCGGGCCATTATTATTATTATTATCATTTTTATTATTATGTAATCAACAGATTTAATGATAAGAATAAAACAAACATTGTTCTTTTTTTTGGTTACTTGTTTCTATTACATAATATGTAAACAATTGTTTACTTAAATGAATTGCTCAGAGAATATGAATCTTGAATAGTAGGAATATCAACATAACACTTAACTTAACGCAGAGTGAACATCAACTCTCCGAGATGCAGGTATATCCAGCTGACCAGTCCTAAATAGGACGAAACGCGCGTCAAACTGGATTCCACTGCTAGCCACTATCCATCAAATAGCTTACAAATATCTTATGAATTAAGGTAATATCGAGGCATACGCACAGTATGCACATATGCCAATAACAGACGGATCAATAGAAGTCTTAAACCTCAATGGGAGGATACAAGCCAAACAATATCAAGTGAATATCAACATATTGTTTATTATTCAGTTGGTATTGTTGTTTATTTGGATCTTCTTATTGATGTTATAAGACTGTAATTGATCAGTCATTTATTGGTATATATGGATATTATGTGTATTGACTGGATATTGTCTTAATTCACAAACATTCTAGGTGAGATTATAATATATGGGCGACATTTGAGTGACGCTAAAATGAATCTGACGATGGACACTTACTGATTAGGACTAAATGAAGGTTATAAAACAGTTAGAAATTTTATTTACAATTGATAGTTAGAGTTTAAATTAGATTTAGGGTTTTCATCACGAACTGACATCAGCTATAATGTCGAAACTCTATTTAGCCAAATGTATGGATGAATTTCGCGCCGAAATTCGTGACTCGCTATCTTATATCTGATTGGTTCGTCTATAAATTATAGTCTCGCCGCATTCTAAGGAAAGATGGATAGTGGCTAGCAGTGGAATTCAGGACGTGCGTCTCATCCTATTTAGGACTGATCAGCTGGATGTACCTGCATCTCAGAGTTGATGTTCACTTCAAAACTAGAACCCGGTACCGTTTGCTCTAAACGCCATCACGTTATCCACTTGGCTAGTGAACTCTGATAGCCATTTGCTTGTTCAATGGGGTGAAGGTTGAATTTACTTGATATTGTTTACTTGAATCTTACCATTGATATTTAGGACTGTAATTGATCAATCTCTTATTGGCATATGTGCATACTGCGTACATTGACTCGATATTGTCTTAATTCACAAGCATTGTAAGAAAAGATGGATAATGGCTAGCAGTGGAATTCAGAGCTCACGTTTTGTTCTATTTGGGGCTCTTCATTTGGATCTGTCTGCTTCTCAGTAGCTAAGTGGATAACACGACGAAGTTTGAATAGGATGGTACTGGGTTTGAGTCCCACGGTGAACATCAACACTGAGATGCAGGTACATCCAGCTAATCAGTGCCCAATAAGACGAAACGCCTATCCTGGATTCCACTGCTAGCCACTGTCCATCTTTGCACATTACTTAACACATTTTTCATTGTTATACCATACTTCAATTAATTATACGAATATAAATCTTTGTAGGTAAATGTTCACACATTTTCTTTCAAATAGAATTAAAATTAACCGATTCCTATTAACCAGTAAGGATAAGTCACTGTAGTGTGAGAGAACAGGTGAAAAGAGAAAACATTCAAGACAAACAAGCAAACAACAATTACATAGCTATGAACAATAACCAACCAAATTCCAGGCTAACCGAATAATCTATCATTAAGGTGTAGTGAACAAGAACACAAGTCGTGACAATCATACCAACTGAGTTCCGTTTCCGTTCTTTCCTTATTGATCTTCTACTGAAATACATCCTATGCCTGATCACCGTTATATACTACTAACGTGGATATAAGTAACCCACGCCACAGAGGTACCACCAGACTATTTAATTTAGTATTCACTTGATTACAGTTTTATTTGTTATGACTTTCCAATATTATGTGAATATTATCTTCTGTTATCTGTAACATCAGTCTAACACTCTACATGATAAAACAAAATAGCTTTCCACTAATCCATAGTTCCTAAATGTAATATAAGTATGATCAACTTTCTTAACTATTCACTAAATGATTGATGTATGTTGAATTTTGATCGAATTTTATATTCCATGTTAATACAGAAAGTGTCAGTTCCATGCCTCGATAAAGGAGAAAGTTAGAAATAGGGTCGACAAACCCATCCTTGTAAAAAACAATCTTGGAAAAAAACAGAAATGCTAACCGGACTAAACAAATTCAACCATTTAAATTCTATCCTCTGAGTTGAGAGAAAAATTATGACGCCTCATGGTGAAAGCCAAGATAATTAGAAATGACCTGAAGGACAAATGTATATCATTTTCTAGGAAATAGATCCATTTCCTAAGGGATAGATATGTATATACACACATGAGTATTTATGCATATTGTTTGGTAGCCCAGTAGACTTTTTCTTCCACTCTCGTCGTCTTGCTCAAACAATCAGTTTGGGTGGTGAGCACACAGCACTTTAGGCATCAGTATCAGGTTTCAGACACCGCGCAGCATAACAATTTTCAATACGAACGTCAAGATAGTTCTAATGTATGGAGCTGAAACTTGGAGAACTACCACAATCATCATCAAATATGTATAACTACTTATAAACAATTCTTTACGCAAAATACTCAATATTCATTGACCAGATACAATCAACAATAACCCACTATACCACAGAACAATCGAACTTACAACTAAACAGGAAATCGAGAAAAAGCATTGGAGGTGGATAGAACACACATTGAAGAAATCATCGAACTGGAGCACTAGATAATCGTTAACTTGGAAATCTAAAGGCCAGAGGAAAAGAGATAAATCGAAGAATAGATTGAGTCGAGAATTGGAGGCAGGTATCAAAAGAATGAATAGCATTTGAGAACAGCTATAAAAGAGAATAGAAGACAGAGTTGGTTGGAGAATTGTGGTGGTCGACTTATGTTTCTCCACGAGTGGTAACAAGAGTAAATAAGTAAGTAAGTAAATACACACTTCAGTAATTTTCGTTACAATTACTTTAATTAATATAAAACAGAGCTATTGAAAAACTCAAGTACACAAAATAAATATTTGATATCGATTACAATATTATTATGTTTAAAACACCTTCTTTCCATTTCATACTCTACCTAAACATGAATACATGTATCATGACATCACTATCTAAAAGAATCACATTTAAATGGGTGTGTGTTTATGTAACGTTTCTCATTCCTGTTTGGGTTTTTCTTAACAATCAATCATCATTAATATTGATTTTGAAATAATAACACGTATAAGTGCTACATATAAGGCAGAAAACTAATATTTCTTACGTCTACAATAAACTAGAATCGTACATGGTAAGCACATATTTGATGATGATGATGCTTTGGATGACGATGATGATGATGCTTTGGATGACGATGATGATGATGCTTTGGATGACGATGATGATGATGCTTTGGATGATGATGATGACGCTTTGGATGATGATGATGCTTTGGATGATGATGATGATGATATTACTGATTTCATTAAAAGTCATATATATGTATGTATATAAATTGTATTGTACACTAACTGACGACATATTTGATCGATGTAAAAATAGATTTTTATACAATTTCTCAACAGTATGGGTAAATTGATTATCGAAGATGTTATGTCCATCAATGCAATAATCTATTTGATTGACATTTTGTTTCATTGCGACCATGTTTTACATTAAAACTTCATTTTATAATAACCCAGTGATTAAATTTCTTTTCTTTTTCTTTTTTTTTAGAATTAAGAAAATGATGTGCGTTTCATTATCAAGAGAATTTTGGCAGAAAATATTTATTACATTAAATACTTTATTTGTTGTAAGTAGTATAATTCTATTCATTAAAAACAAAAACATAAAAAGATATTCAACATGATTCTACTTATATTAGGTATAATAACACAAAATACTTTATCAAAATATACAACCATTTTACATACACCAATATCAGCTATCATTCCAACTATTCTATTTACTGGATGTTTCGGTTTGATAGCTGCATTAATTGGATATATTGGATTATGGAAACCAATGAATTTAATTGCTTTAATGGTATGGATTATTCAATGATTCTTCTTTTTTTTGGTATTAAATTTTCTAAAGCAATTAGTTCCTTTTAAAAAATTCTTCATAAAACAATGAGAAGAGGGAGTTGATCTGAATAAATATGATGTCAGAATAGGGGTTATGAAGATTATTAATTTGTTGATTGAGATCATGAATCGATTGATGTTAAACCATCGTTAGAAACCTGGAAGCCGTTTCGTCCTCAATCAAAAACTTAATAATCTCCACAACACCTAAACTGATAATTAACATGTGCTCACTAGTGACTAGCTTCGTGAGGAAATTCTCGGAGTTCTAATGAGAAGCCGTGCCCCATGGAGCTAATCAATGTAGGGTAGAAACAGGTGTCTATCTCAGTGAAATGGAAGATGGTCGCGCAATTTCGTGGACTGGTTGATGTTGGACACTAACACCATTGGATGCCAGCTCAATGGTTAAGTAGGTTAAGCGTCCGCGCGCGAGACTGAAGGCCGTGGGTTTGAATCCCTCGAGTGAGATCGTGGATGCGCACTGCTGAAGAGTCCTACTATAGGACGAAATGGCCATCCAGTGCTTCCAGATTTCTAACGGTGGTCTAACATCAATCGGTTCATGATCTCAATCAAAAAATGTGATGTATTTACGCTATACATTTCGAATAATCTGGTCGTACATATACTTACCAAATCATTTTATATGAAAGTTAATAAGGGTCAATTATATGAAAGGTGACAAAGTGGAAAGTAACATTTTTTTCTTATATCGTATAGAAAGAATAAGAAATTATCGCATTATCCAAGGGCATAGAATAACTTAAGGGTTACTTAGGTAAAGTCAAGGTTACAACAAATTGTTTTTGTACACATAAGGGAAGGAGGGGTGAGGTTAAATTTACAGCTTCAATAAACTTAACCATTCATCCTTGACAATATATTAAAAGCTGTATTCATGTCAAATTAAATTGTCTTTTTTTCTTTTTCTTTTTCTTTTCTTTTCTTTAGCATATAATTAGTTTGTGTATTGTTACACTCATTGAAATTGGTATAGCAACAACATCAGCTGTAATGTATGATCAAGTTCGTTTCATTACAAATTCAAATATAATATATATTCTTTCATTTCTATAGTTTTATACAACTACACATAGTGCATTATTAGATAGTGTGAAATTCTATTATGAAAACCCACAATATGAAATGGAAATGGATCATTTACAAACTGAAGTAATGATAAATTTCATCTTTATTATTATTGTTTACATGATTGAAATATTGATTTGTTTGTATATGACATTCATGTTGATCATGTTTTCTTTCTTTTCTTTTTCTTACGTTTGTTGTTGTTCATAGTTTAAATGTTGTGGAGCTGAATCTTATTTGGATTATAGAAAATTGGGTATGAATATACCATTCTCTTGTATCATTGGTTATTTAGTTTATGCAAGAGTAAGTCAATCTATGAATTATTTCTTAGTAAATTAAACTGATATTATGTTATACAATTTCATAGGATTCTAAGATCTTTCTTAAACTGATGAATTTCGTGGATTAATTAAAGTTAGACATTAACACCGTTGAATGCCAGTTCAGTGGTCTAGTGTTTAAGCACTCGCCCGTGAGACTGATAAGTCCTGGATGGGAATCCCATGAGGCAGGAATGTAAAGTCACACAATAGGACGAAACGGTACTTCCAGGTTTCCCATGATGGTATAGCTTTAATTGATTCATGATCTCAACTATTGGAATCAAATTCACATGGTATTGTTTTACTTGAATCTTCTCATTGATATTTAGGACTACAATCGACCAGTATCTTATTGGCACATGTGCATACTGTGCGTTTTGACTTAATTCACAAGTATTATAAACAAAGATAGATGGTGGTTAGCAGTATAATCCAGGATGCGCGTTTCGTCCTGTCTGAAGCTCGTCAGCTGGATGTAGCTGTATCTCAGAGTTGGTGTTCACCCTGGGACTCGAACCCAGTATCGTTCACTTTAAACGCCATCACGTTATCCACTTAGCTACTGAGTCCTGATAGCTACGTGCTTGTGCGATGGGGTGAAGTTTTAATACAATTCGTATTGTTTGATTGAAAGTTGGCGTTTGAATAGAACGAGTTGAGACTATAATTTATGGACGACCTTTCAGCGATGCCAAAGTGATCTTGAGAATGAGGGTTATAAACCAGTGTGACAAATTAAAATAATGATTTACAATTGATAGTTATGGTTAGGAATTAAATTTATGGTTTTTATCACGACCTGACATCAGTTAAAATGTCGAAACATTGTTTGGCCAAATGGATGGATGTATTTCACGCCGAAACCTCAGACCTGTTATCTTATATCTAAAGTAATTAGTCCCCTTTATAAATTTCGATAGAACAATGAGAAGATGGAGTTGATCTGAAAAATGTAATGTATTTGCGTTATTGTTCGAAATGTAACGCACCAATACATCACATTTTTCAGACCAACTCCATCTTCTCATTGTTCTATCGATATCTTATGTTTGATTGATTCGTCCATAAATGATAGTCTCATTGTAATTAATAGTTATGTAATGTAATAAGTGGTAGAATTGAAAAACTAGGATATAATGAAATAACCTTTATGTTATAAGGCCATAAGAAACCCTAACAGCCAGTTCAAGTTGAAAATACAAATACACTTTCAGACATTTGATAGATACATTTTCTGTCAATTGAAAAACATCATAGACTTGAATGATTTCATGAAATCTTCTTGACTAGTTGACTTCTTTTTTTGTTTATATGTTTAAATATACTGGTGATTACATTTTGAGAGGTCACCTTGTGTAATATGTTTATTACATCTAAGTTGAAGGACTTCCTTCTATTCATCCAATGTAATGTTTTTTGGCTGATACTCATATAATAATCAATACAATTAATCAATCAGTCAGTCAATAACAACGTAGAACTTCGTACGTACGTACATCAGTCCGAGTTGCCATACCACATTAGCACAGAGATACAGTTGTCGACTCAAATCTCGTAGTGATAGAGGCGGTAAGAGTATACGCAGTAATTGGAAACATTAGGGTTTGAAGATGTTATTCAAGGAGTATAATACAGTGAAATAAATTTGGAAAGAAAATAAGGGACATGAAGAATTCAGAATATTAGAATTTGGGAGAGAACAAAGAGTGCATGCACGTGAGTCATTGCAAACGATTCTGAGCCATGTCATTCATAGTCTCTAACCATCGGTTGCTATCATCTCGCGGTCCCCAACCAGGTAATCTACACCTACCAACATGACTCACTCAGTCCACTTGTCAGTGACTTCATGGACTTGTGCCATGTTTTGGTTTGGCCGCCCCTAGCTTTCTTCCAACCTACTCCTATACCACTGAACATAGCACGTCGAGGCAGTCGGTCGTTGGGCATACGTAACACGTGTCCCAGCCATCTCAACTGATGAAGTTTCACTACTTCAACGATTGATTTGTCATCCTTACCCAGTACCCGTTTCCTTACAACTGCACTAATCACTCGATGGTCCCAAGATATCCGAGCAATGTTTCGAAGACACCTATGATCAAATACTAGTAGCCTACGAATATCCTCTACTCTTACCGATCATGTTTCACAGCCATAAAGTAGGACGGAACGAACCGCTGCACAGTAAACACGTCCTTTAGTTGATAGACTGATATCTCGCCCACGCCATAAATGACGCAAGTTGGCAAAAGCTATTCGAGCCTTCTGTATCCGTGGTAAAATGTGAAGTGTATATGTAAATGTTTGATTACGTGGATAATCATATTTGATTCAAATTGATCAAATTAAATTCAGGCTAGATGTCTATCTTATTGTTATTTAAATAATTTATAAAGTTATAAAATCACTCCGTACTGGGTTTGAGTCCCAGAGTGAATATCAACTTTGAGATGAAGGTACATCTAGCTGACAAGTCCCAAATAGAACGAAACTTGCTTCATGGATTCCACTACTAGACACTATCCATCTTTGCTTATAATTTTTCAATGTTGTCTATACTGTAAAATGTAATGTTTGTTATTCTTAGTCTGTCTGTCATAAAATTACTAACTAACATTCCACTATAAACTTGTTTAATCATGAATGAACGTTAATGAAATGAATTCAGATTACTCTTAATTGATCAAATAAAGTATAGCTTAATTGTTATTAACATTTTCCATTGACTCTGACCGACACACTGAGTCACTATTGCATCAAGAACATCACTTATCAAGTTCAGATTTGAATATATTCAGTTTGTTGTTTAGTATAGGATCGTTTGTGAAGATTACAAGACTTTATAGTTTAAAGTAAAACTTGATCTTAGAAGTTCCACACTACAATAAAATAGCTAATCAGTAATTCCTTAGTTTCCAATCATATTCTAGTTAATATTTAAATGAAGAGTATCTTATTTTGTGCTCTTTTTTCCAACTTATTACTTAAAACAGAAATGTAATTTCGAGATAGTGAAGATTTGTAGGTCAGGTGGATGATTTTGATGGTGTTTTTTTCTCCGAACTGGATGGTTTGGTTGTGGAGCTTTCATAGTTTTCCTGAACGATACCATCAACATGTGGACAACTGTGGAAATTTTGGATAGAAGCAACTTCAAAAACACACCAGGGAATTTTTAGAAGCTTGACACTCAGGCCAATCAGCAATCAAAAAGCACATTGAAATCGATTCAATTTATTAATCATAAGAAAAATTATGGACAAATATAAGAACAAAAATGAAACTAATGAAAGACACAACCAAAACAAAGAAGTAAACAGTGATAAGTTTAAAGTCAACAAGAACCAATCAGCATCGAGGTGTACAGGACAAGCTGCCAAATTTATGTGGAGAAATTCAAACACTCGACTTGTACCTGAGTTTTGTACTGATGATGTCGGTCCACAAACAAACCATCTAGCTCAGCGAACAAAACTCCATCAGAATTGTTCATTTATTTATTTTCCATAAACATTGGTACAAGGAGGCACCAAATAGATATACGCCACATTGAAGTGGCTTGTTTGATCTGACTCCATTTAGAGTGTATGAATGATTGTTACCGCTGATTCTCGTATATCATCGTCGACTTAAATCGCGTTAGTCCATAACGGAATTAAATAAGTCAATCAACGAGAATGGCATTTGAATACATATATTTTGTATGAAAAGTGAATGCGATAGAACAAAACGAAATGACGCGCAGGGAAGATGGCTGGGAAGCCAACTCCATCTTTGTCAAGCGTTACTCAATATTTATAGTCAGACAAAGTAAAGCTACAGACATATGATTAGTGGAATAAGAAGGGCACACACATATACGCTCATATAAAAACAGTCTAGATTGATAAGCGAATAAATAACAAGGTCAATGTATGACTCAAGTAAAATGAATAGAATGGGATGTCCGAAAGCTCGAATAAGGTATATGGGCTTGGCATAATAACTGACACTACAACATAACTCATTCGATTTGTGTGAGAGCTTGAATATTGCCGGGGCTCCCAAACCGAAACAGGTAGTTTTCTTAGGGAGCCACACCCAAAGCCTTCAATCTAAAGGTCTGACCCACAAGGCAGTGGAGCAACGTAAGGAGATCCAGTTCCATGGTAACCGGTGACCATTAATTGGTTCATATACCATTTGTTCCTCCAAGATCCTGGAGCCGATGTGGAACATTGGTTTGGAATCAGAGTTTTCCAACTCCTCTAGGTGAACTCTCCATGTTAAAGTGTCAGACATTCGTTTTTTATCCTTTCAATTTCGTAAACACCTACCCCCGCCACGGGAAGGTCGTGAATAGGACTTTCATGTCAGTAGTTGTATGCACGTATCCATGTGAAAGCATTTCAAGAGAGAGAGAGAGAGAGAGATAACTCTCATCCGTACCAGAATATTTATAGGTATCTGTTTTATAATCCCTAATCATATTTTCTTTATGACATAATTTATCTAAACTTTTGATTGATCTCATGTATTTCTTTTCTTCTTTTTATAAAAAAAACCAACTTTTACTTAACAGGGTTGTGTTCATATATTAACTGATTATATACAACAATATACAATTGTATTCATTTCATTATGTTTTATATTTTCAATTATACAAGGGGTTTATTTAATTATTTCCATTTTAATGCTTAATAGATCTATGGATATAAAAAATTTATGTACATAATTATGTTTATTTTTTTTATTTTTTTCCAAAAAAAATAATCAATAAATCAATAAAATAAAATGAATAAACATGATTTTGTTGATCAAAAGGATATTTCATGGTTACTATGATCAATTTATTGATTTATTGAGTTAATTCATTGATTTGAATGATTTATTGATTATTGATTGATTGATTGATTAATTCATTCTATTAAAGACTCTAATACATTGAATGTTGTTGTTGTTGCTGATTTGTTTTTCTCCTTACTGTTTTCTATGTTATGAATAAATAATTGTTTAAATTAATTGTATGAATCTTATTAATTGTGAATGATAACTTTTATTTTATATGAATTGATATGATCAGTGTGGATAGGAAACCAACGATTGTTGTTCCAATCATGAAGTGATGGTTGAGCTTGCCTATTGTGATGAAACAAATTGAGTTATACTGACTAGAACAATCGTTTCTCAAGATCCGACCTCAGCCCTAATGGGTTGGTATCTGATGAAATCTCAGCACGGATTTGAAAAGCTCGTTTGGCTTTCGCCAACTTACGTCACCTATGGCGAAAGCGACATATCCGTCTATCAATGAAGGGACGAGTATACTGTGCAGCAGTCCGTTCTGTTTTAATTTACGACAGCGAAACATGATCATTAAGAGTAGAAGATATTCGTAAGCTTCTAGTATTTAATCACAGATGTTTTAGAAATATTGCTCACATCTGCTGGGATCACTAGGTAAGTAATAGTGAGGTTAGATGCAGGGCATTAGGTAATGATGGTAAATCAGTTGATGAGGTTGTAAATTTTCATCGACTAAGATGATTAGGCCACGTGTTACGTTTACCTGAACACCGATTACCACGACGTGCAATGCTAATCGGTGTAGGGGATGGTTGGAAGAAAGTTAGGGGCGGCCAAACCAAAACGTGGTATCAGTGCTTGAAGTCACTAACTTCTAGTCTTAGCCATGTTGGTAGATGCAGACTACTTGGTTGGGGTCCGCGTGACTATCGTAACCAATGGTTGGAGACTCTTGGTGACATGGATCAGAATCGATCACAATGGCGTCGGTGTATACACTTCCTGTCTTTCCTTAAACTAAGAGATTAAAATCACCCCATATCTTTCTTTCTACGAACAAATTCTTTCTTTTTGTACTATATCTCTATATGCAATCTTTCTCTTATATATTACCACCTTTGACATAACCACTGCTATGAATCCGGTGTCCATCTTGTTGTGTTAATGAGGTATGGCGACTTGGATCGATGGATATATGTGCCTGGTCCCACGTTGTAGCTGACAGGCAAGATCCTACCATACTAGACAGGTCAGTTGAAGAGCGGTGAGACTAAAAGCAGTAAACTCAAGATCTGAAGGCGAAGTCATACTGTTGACTGTACAGAGGTGTGACGGCAGTAAGGTGTTTCTTTCAAACAATCAGCATGACAGTGATGCTACCCTTCCACAAGGAGAGGTGGGGTTAGAAAAGGTTGACCCTAAAAATGCACATCTTGCCTTATCCCATGGATTTCTGTGTCTGGTGGTGAGGTCTCAACAAGCACGGAGCTAACACGAACATTACTCACAAAAATGTCGTGTGCGATCGGCCTAAATTTGTTGTCCCTTGGGCAATGCAGTTACTCACTCAGCTCACTAAGACCACCCCTAACCCAATTTTATTTTCAGGTACCTCTGGAAGAACCTTTCCATGATGTGAGCAACCGGAAAGTGATAACCGCCCTCACACTTCTAACAGCATTCTAAATCACTGACTGATATGAAAACTATGAGTGATTCAGAGTTTTTCTACAGCAATTGACAAGACAGTATGATTAATAAATACTTTTAACAAGTCAATCTAATCAAGTTGATTGGACTTCATAGGTGTATTTCGTTTAACATGTTTTGACAAATATGAATGGCGAATGTTCGAATACTTGCATATAATACACTGCTAAGGGTTCTCTGTATTTTAACGATCCAGTAGAAAACTGATAAGTTAAGCGTATTGAGTGCAAGCCAGATACCTACCGAAGACAATGAAAGATGATCTTGAAATATTGTGGATTGATTGAAGTTAAACATTAACACGGTTGGATGTCGACTCAGCGGTCTAGATGCTAAGTGTTTGCGTGTGAGATTGAAGATCTTGGATTCGATTTTTACATACGGTGTCGTGAATGCACATTGGTGAGAAATCCTATACTGGGATGAAACGGCTATCCAGTGTTTTCAGGTTTTCACTGGTGGTCTAACATTGGTCTATCTCCACAAACCCAATATTGAAGATTTAATTCCATTAAAAATTGTTCTACATCTACATTGTTATGTGTATTTTGTTGATATGGGTGATATTTTAGGAACCAGTTGCCATAATTAATATATAAATATCATAATAAATAGATTATAACACGTAATACTTACAATTTATTCAGGTGTCCTAGACTAATACATCAATAGTGGACTAAATGTGTCAGTGATAGTAGCTCCGTTTGTGATAATATATATAGTTTTTGATAGATGAAATTGATTTCCTTGTGTTTATTTCAGTAACTCGAAAGTTATCTTTCGACTAATGTATATCTCAATGGTTTAGATCATGAGTCAATTGAATCTAGATCATCATGGAAAACCTGAAAGCACCGGACGGTCGTTTCGTCCCAGTATGGGACTCGTCAACAGTGTGCATCCACGATCCCGAACCCCGCGAGGTTCGAACCTAGGACCTATCAGTCTCGCGAAATTCGCTTAATCAACTAGACCACTGAGCTGACATTCAATGGTGCTAATGTTTAACCTCAACTAATCCACGAAATTGTGCGACCATCTTTTATTGTACTGAGATAGACACCTGTCTCCACCCAACAAGGACTAGCTACACTGGTCACGGCTTTTCACTAGAACTCCGAGAATTTTCTCACGAAGCTAGTCACTAGTTAGCACATGTTAATTATCAGTTTAGGTGTTGTGGAAATTGTTAAGTTCAATCAAAAACTTAACAATGTCCACAACACCTAAACTGAAAACATAATGTAAAGTGATTTATCAACAAAATTCTGCTGTCATTTAACACTTAGACTCAATAAGTACCCATACTTATGATAAGTAGTATATACTTAATAAATAATTGTTCATTTCTTCGTCTTTATTTCATTTAATACATGAATTACATAATACAAATTAACGTAAACAATTCATAGAAGTAAATAAATCATTAGAGAAGGATATGTGGACTTAATTGCATTTCATAGTTTACATCACGAACTAACTTTAGTTAGATAATAGTTTAAATCTAGAAAGTACTAGTTAGTTGTTTTATGATTCCTCATAAGTAAAGATTCACGACTCTACTGAGGATTAAGCTTAAAACATTTGAAGTTCGTTATGAGCTTTTTAGATTTAGATTATTGTGTCGTTATTCAATGGTTGACATTTCTAACTTCAATCACTCTGAGATATTATGTAATTTAATTACTTTCTATTATTATCTGTGAATAACTGCCTCTCACCTAATATCATCATGACTTTTCACAAGAACCTTTGAAATAACATTTCGAGATTAGATATCAGTGAGTACATGATTGTTATTACTAGATAGGGTTTATAGAAATTTTTGAATTTTATAGCATAAGTCATGAGCTAACTTGAGCTATGCAATCATTGGAAATCAGGAATTACAGTTTGACTTTTTCGTATTGTAATAAGACATCTTAGAAATGAACAATGATGACCCCAACACAGATTGAATAATCCAGAAAATGAAATAAATTAAATGTTATTGGTGATTAATTGATGTAAGATTTACAGTTTTAGTGGTGGTAAGTTTCAACCTGTATATGTCTGTAGTACAAATCATAACTATGACACTGGATGACCCTTCCATAGTGTAGGCGACTGGAAAGTGATAACCGCCCTCATACTTCCAACAGCACTCAAGACCAAAATAATAATATAAAGTGTTCTCATTTGCGTACTTTTGAATATCGTTTACTTGTTTGTTTGTCCGCCTGCAGCTCTTATAGGGTTGCTGCCGGTCCCAAGCCCGGGTAAAGGAGGAGGGTTGGGCATGGGGTTAGCGTCCCCATCCCGTAGAAAACTAACTCGCTAAAAAAACGCTTACCAGAAAAAATAATCCAAACCATTTTAACTCTGCCCTGGGAGTTAGAAGGTCTTCATTTAGAAGAACTATGACGCTTCATGGTGAAAGCCGAGTTCCTTCGGAAGCCACGAGGCCGATGCCCCTTCTAACAACCAGAGCAAAAAATTTTATAGGTACATGGAACGTTTGAACTATGTGGGAAACCGGGAAGACCAGTCAAATATCAATGGAAATGAGGAGATACAACTTAGCAGTACTGGGAATCAGCGAAACCCACTGGACCCAAGCTGGACAGAAAAGTCTAGCTACGGGAGAGATGCTGCTATACTCCGGTCACGAAGAGGACAATGCTCTACACACTCAGGGAGTCGCTCTTATGCTGTCCAAAGTAGCACGAAATGCACTTGTAGGATGGGAATCTCACGGATCCAGAATCATCAAAGCATCATTCAAAACAAAGAAGGAGGGGATCACAATGAATATTATCCAATGTTATGCACCCACCAATGATAGCAACGACGACATTAAAGGTCAATTCTACGAGCGGCTGCAGTCAATTATTGAGAAATGCCCAAGAAAGGACCTCACCATTCTGATGGGAGATCTAAATGCCAAAGTCGGAATAGACAACACTGGATATGAAGATATTATGGGACGACATGGACTGACTGGGAGAAAGAAACGAAAATGGAGAAAGATTTGCAAATCTATGTGCATTCAACAAATTGGTCATAGGAGGCACAATATTTCCACACAAGCGTATACACAAGGCTACATGGATCTCACCGGACCACACTACAGAGAACCAAATAGATCATATTTGCATCAACAAAAAATTCCGAAGGACAATGGAAGATGTGAGAACCAGGAGAGGTGCTGACATAGCTTCAGATCACCACCTAGTTGTATCCAATTTGAAACTGAAGCTAAAAAAGAACTGGACAACTGGACAAACAGCAATACAAAGGTTCAATACAGCCTTCCTTAGAGATACTGACAAACTCAATGAATTCAAGATAGCTCTCAACAACAGGTTCCAAGCCTTACAAGATCTACTGAAAGAAGGAGAAACTACTATGGAGGATAACTGGAAAAGTATCAAAGAAGCATTAACTTCAACGTGTCAAGAGGTTCTGGGCCTAAAAAACATCATCATAAGGAGTGGATCTCTATAGAAACATTGGACAAGATCGAAGAAAGGAAGAACAAGAAGGCAGCAATAAACAACAGCCGAACACGAGCAGAGAAAGTCCAAGCACAAGCTGAATACACAGAAGCAAACAAGCAAGTGAAGAGGAGCATTAGAGCCGACAAGAAGAAATACGTGGAAGAACTAGCAACGACGGCAGAAAAAGCTGCTAGAGAAGGAAATATGAAACAGCTTTACGATACAACAAAGAAACTATCAGGGAAATACAGTAAACCAGAGAGGCCGGTCAAAGACAAAGAAGGCAAGCCAATCACCGAAACTCAACAACAGCGTAACAGATGGGTAGAATACTTCGAGGAACTCCTGAATAGGCCGGCTCCAATGAATCCACCGGACATCGAAGCAGCACACATAGATCTTCCTCTAGATGTCAATCCACCAACTACGGAAGAAATTAGAATGGCCGTCAGACAAATCAAGAACGGGAAAGCAACGGGACCCGACAACATACCAGCTGAAGCACTGAAATCAGACATCGAAACAACCACAAGCACGCTTTATCTTCTATTCAAAAAGATTTGGGAGGAGGAACAAGTGCCGATGGACTGGAAAGAAGGACACCTCGTCAAGATTCCAAAGAAAGGAGATCTGAGCAAATGTGGAAACTACAGAGGCATCACACTACTGTCAGTACCAGGAAAAGTCGTTAACAGAGTGTTGCTGAACCGGATGAAAGATGCAGTGGACGCCCAACTTCGAGATCAACAAGCTGGATTCCGTAAGGATCGGTCGTGCACAGACCAAATTGCAACACTACGGATCATCGTCGAACAATCAGTTGAGTGGAACTCATCACTATACATCAACTTCATTGATTATGAAAAGGCATTCGACAGTGTAGATAGGAGGACATTATGGAAACTTCTTCGACACTACGGAGTTCCTGAGAAGATTGTCAATATTATCCGGAACTCATACGACGTACTACAGTGCAAAGTAGTGCATGGAGGACAGCTGACAGATGCATTCCAAGTAAGGACCGGAGTCAGACAAGGCTGTTTACTCTCTCCCTTCCTCTTTCTTCTGGTGGTCGACTGGATTATGAAGACCTCAACATCTGAAGGAAAACACGGAATACAATGGACAGCTCAGAATCAATTAGACGATTTGGACTTCGCAGATGACCTAGCCCTCCTATCGCATACACACGAACAGATGCAGACAAAGACAGCCAGCGTATCAGCAGTTTCTGCATCAGTATGCCTCAGCATACACAAAGGGAAAACTAAGGTCCTCAAATTCAAGGCGGAGAACAGCAATCCAATCACACTTGATGGCGAAACTCTGGAAGATGTGGAATCCTTCACATACCTGGGAAGCATAATCGATGAACAAGGAGGATCCGATGCAGACGTAAAGGCGAGGATCGGCAAAGCAAGGGTCGCATTCCTACAATTGAAGAACATATGGAACTCAAAACAACTTTCAACCAAATTCAAAGTCACAATCTTCAATAAGGACGTCAAGGCAGTTCTACTGTATGAAGCTGAAACTTGGAGAACTACAACAACCACAATCAAGAAAGTACAAGTAATTATAAATAACTGTCTACGCAAGATACTCAACATCCATTGGCCGGATACCATCAGCAACAGCCTTTTGTGGGAGAGAACAAACCAACTTCCAGTTGAAGAAGAAATTAGGAAAAGACGATGGAAATAGATAGAACATAAATTGAGGAAATCATCAAACTACATCACGAGATAAGCCCTAACTTGAAATCCTGAATGGAAACGGAAAAGTGAAAGGCTAAAGAACACATTACTTGAAGAAATAGAAAGAAAAATGAAAAGGATGAGTAGTAACTGGAAACAGCTGGAAAGGATTGCCCAGGACAGGGTTGAATGGAGAATGCTGGTTAGCTGCCTATGCTCCTTCACAAGGAGTAACAGGCGTAAGTAAGTAAGTAATATATATATATATATATATATATATATATATATATATATATATATATATATGTATATATATATATATATATAGTTCTTATAATCTTAGTCTTCTTATTTATCAAAGAGACTAATTATTTTTACAATAATAAGCATTAAACAACTAAACTTTACAAAATCCTATTTCTTTTCATTAATTAAGCAAGATCAGACACACACACACACACACAAAACCCCCATTTTATTTGAAACAAAAATGATTGTAATGTTCATATGTTCATTACTGTCTATTATACACACACAAAAAAAGATAACTGATTATGAATGTATTAGAGTATTCCAAAAACACTACCATAATTAGTAAATGATGATGATGATGATGATGATGATGATGATGATGATGATGATGATGATGATGATGATGATGATGATGATGATGATGATGATGATGATGATGATGATGATGATGATGATGATGATGATGATGATGATGATGATGATGATGATGATGATGATGATGATGATGATGATGATGATGATGATGATGATGATGATGATGATGATGATGATGATGATGATGATGATGATGATGATGATGATGATGATGATGATGATGATGATGATGATGATGATGATGATGATGATGATGATGATGATGATGATGATGATGATGATGATGATGATGATGATGATGATGATGATGATGATGATGATGATGATGATGATGATGATGATGATGATGATGATGATGATGATGATGATGATGATGATGATGATGATGATGATGATGATGATGATGATGATGATGATGATGATGATGATGATGATGATGATGATGATGATGATGATGATGATGATGATGATGATGATGATGATGATGATGATGATGATGATGATGATGATGATGATGATGATGATGATGATGATGATGATGATGATGATGATGATGATGATGATGATGATGATGATGATGATGATGATGATGATGATGATGATGATGATGATGATGATGATGATGATGATGATGATGATGATGATGATGATGATGATGATGATGATGATGATGATGATGATGATGATGATGATGATGATGATGATGATGATGATGATGATGATGATGATGATGATGATGATGATGATGATGATGATGATGATGATGATGATGATGATGATGATGATGATGATGATGATGATGATGATGATGATGATGATGATGATGATGATGATGATGATGATGATGATGATGATGATGATGATGATGATGATGATGATGATGATGATGATGATGATGATGATGATGATGATGATGATGAATATGGGAGACTTTATATTAATAGACTGGGCATAACTCAAGAACAGTAAATCATATAATAATAGTCTGTAGATTAAAATGAAGCTTATCATAAGATGAAGATGAATATGCATAGTTTAGCTACTTAACAATCATACAATACATCTATATATATCATAATGATTCATCAATGGATTCCGACAGTTACCATTCAATATTCTCTTCAGGATATAACATCATACAAATGAAATGACTTCACTTTAAAACTTTACAAAATCAGTCATTTGATTTAATGATGAAATAGTTGAATAAAACTTTACAATATCAAACATAAATATCCATTTCAATAGAAAACATTAGAAAAATTCCATATTATTCTACATTCCTAATTACTCATTTCTATTACCATAGTGAATAAGATTTAAAGAATAAGACACATAAACAATAATATGAATTTAAATGTTGTATATTATGATGATAGTAATAATAATAATAATAATAAAAGTGATCTAAATGTATGCGTCATTTCAACATGTCATGAGGTTCTGGATCACAAAATGTACTATCACATCGAATGGATCACTATTGATATATTGGATAAGATTCAAGAAAAGAAGAACAATAAGGCAGCAATCAATACCAGACACATTAACACATAAATAGTAATATTAATGTCATATGGATTTAAATGTTGTATATAATAATAATAACATTATCGTTATTATTATTATTATTATTATTATTATTATTATTATTATTAGTAGTAGTAGTAGTAGTAGTAGTAGTGAACTAAATCTATGCGATTAGTTCTAGTTGATGAAATATCGATGAATTATTGATGTATAAAATGTAGGATATATGATTTTCTAAGAAAAAAATGACATGCTACATCCTTTAAATTGGATTGTAGTTACTATCTGTAGTAAACAAGAACACAAATGGGGATAATCGAATGTAAATAAAGCCAGAATAAATACTGATGCAGAATAATATGCATTCATTATATTTTGCGGTTTCTCATCAGATGCTTACGACCACTGATATGTATTAGAATTTCACATTGAGATAAGAAATAATATGGAACGATTGACATAACTGAATGTAAAGAGTTGGAATGACAAAGGTTTCCTATATCGGAGTGAATATCAACTCTGGGATGCAGGTTCATCTAACTGATGAGTCGCAAATAGGACGAAACACTCGTCAAATTCGGTTCCACTGCTAGCCACTATCCATCTTTGCTTAAAAAGCTTGTGACTGAAGGCAATATCGAAGCAATCCGCACAGGATGCACATATGCCTACATCAAACTGACCACATGCAGTCCTAAACATCAATGGGAAGATACAAATAAAATCAAAATCAAGTGAATTTATATGTATGTATGTATATATATGCAAGAACAAGAAAGAGGTTACTTGGTGTTAAAATCAAGGAACCACTAGGAATCGGTGATGTAATAGTTGAGTGGAGTTCAGAGACAGATAAGATAAATTGTGTGATAATTTTAGAGGTAATAAAGGATTCATGGAATTGAAAACTGATAAGATGGGTTACGTAAGAAATGAATAGAATTTGAAGAGTTCACATAATTTAAGAGAATCAAGTGAGTGGAAATGTATGAGTGAAAGGGTGGTTTAAGAATTCTGCGAAACATAACCACTAAGAGTAGAAAATACTCGTAAGCTACTAGTATTTAATCACAGATGTTTTAGAAACATCGCTCGCATCTGCTGGGATCACCGGGTAAGTAATAGTGAGGTCAGACACAGGGTTTTAGGGAATGATGGTGGATCACTTGATGAATCTTCATCGACTGAGATGGTTGGACCACGTGTGACATATGTCTGAACACCGATTATCATGACGCGCAATGCTGACTAGTGTTGAGAATGACTGAAAGAAAGTAAGGGGCGACCAAACCAAAACCTGGCATCAGTCCACACAGTCACTAACTTCTGGTCTGAGCCATGTTGATAGATGCAGACTACTTGGTTGTGGTCCGCGTGACTATCGTAACCAATGGTTGGAGACTGTGGATGACATGGCTCAGAATCGATCACAATGGTGTACGTGTATACACTCTGTCTTACCTAAAACTATGGGATTAAAATTGCATTGTATCTTTCCTTCTACGAACTGATTCTTTCTTCCTGTATTATATCCTTACACAAAATCCCTTTTTTATATATTACCACTACTGAACTAACTACTTCTATGAATTCGGTGTTCATCTTGTTGTGCTAATGAGGTATGGCAACTTGTGCCGATGCATATATGTGCCTGGTCCTACGTTTGTAGTTGACTGACTGACTAACTACACCTTTAAAATCATTAACTGATAGATTATGCAGTGAATAATTCATCTATCAATAAAAACTAATAAATGCATGAATTAAAAGCACTACTCTATTCATTTATATTGAAAATTTCTTTTCAATTCATATTTTCTTGTATAGATAATCTGAACACATTGCTTAGATACTATACTCAGTAGGTTTTTATCATATAATTTAAATGACCTATTTTTCATAGTTAGACCTTCAAGTTTAAAATAATTTTTTTCTTTGAACTTAACTGTGGTGTTTGAATGAACTAATGATTCTTTTGTACTGGTGGAATGCTCGATTTCGAATTCTAAATACAATACATTCGTTTGTGCCTGTGTCTTCTTAATTCAATTGCGTTAATCCTGGAATTCCTAGTTCATACGATAATTCGAATACTATATTGGCGTCGCGATGGAGCCTGCAATGGAAAAGTTAGATATTCATTCAACTCCTGAAGCTTTTGAGGATTACTTGGAAAGGTTTGAAATCTGGAGCATGACCAAGAAAAATGTTAAAGGTGATAAAATTGTGGCACATTTTCTGACATTCATTGGGAGAGAAGCGTACAGCTTATTAAAAACTTTGGCATATCCAGAAAAACCTATCTCACTACCTTATGCAACTCTTAAAGAGCTATTATTAAGTCATGTAAAATGCACCAGTTTTGAATGCCGTGAAAGGGCGAAGTTTCATACGATGGTTCGTCAAAATGACCAAAAGGCTCGGGAATTCATCCTTGAATTACAATGTACCGGTAAATAAATCCCCAAAATAAATAGCCCTAAGTTTTCGACATTGGATGCTGACCATATGTTTTAGTGGACTCATCTAGCTGAAGGCGCTCGGTCATGCATCCGCACCAGATCACGTGTGGTAACGCCGTGCTCAACATCAACCACAATCGCTAGCCAGATTAGATCAGAGAATTCCGATATATTGGTCATCGCCAAATATACTCTTCCGATCTCCTCGACTCTGTCTTTTGATTTCTCTGGGTAGGAACGAAATACATTAGAAGGTGTTACTGGTAAAAGCGTTGTCGAACACTGAATACCTGTGGCATCATCATTGGTGAGCCCGACGTGATCTGGTACACCTTATTGCAACTGTGAGTCTGTTCCTTTTTAGGATTTTTATATATCATTGCCTTATTTTTTATTTTTTTTTAAACATTGTGATTTTTTTTCGTAATTTTTCTTGGATATATATATATTTTCCCCTCGTTCATTATCGTACTTCATACTTCATCATGACTGAACAGACACCTAAAGTACTCTAGCTTAAGACTTTGTCCCCGCCTTCGTTTCAACTGATGCCTTTCTGGCCCGACAACATCGTAGCCTGGTTTTACTACGCAGAAGCCGACTTCCACGAGCACGGCGTGATCGACACACGTGCACAATTCCTCGCAGTAGTTAAGGCACTACCGCGCGAATTCATCAGGTACGTAACACCTAGTATGTTTACTAGTGATGTTTCTGACCCTTACGAAACCTTGAAACGTTCGATTCTTAAAAGAGGAGACCTAACCGATCGACAAAGGTTAGATCAACTCTTCAATAACATCGACCTGCAACACGGTTCTGCGACAGACATGTTGCAACGAATGAGAGAGGTTATAGGCCCAAGAACTTTCGACGAAGGTCTATTCAAACAACTCTTCTTGTCAAAACTTCCCCAACAGGTGCAAGCAGTTCTGGTCTCGTTCCAGAACAACGCCTTAGACGAGCTAGCTGCATCTGCCGACCGCATTTTAGAAATTACGAAATCTACTACCGAGGTATTTTCAGTCAAAGAAAAACCTCAAACGACTCAGAATGATATAACCGACTTATGTCACACACTCACGCGTTATCTTAGTCTTCGTACCGACCGTAAGAGATCGCGCACTCCACGTAGAAGCATTTCACGTAAGCGATCTGTCTCTAGACCACGAGAGATAGATAACCCCGACTGGTGCTGGTATCATAACCAGTATGGAAAGTTTTCCAGAAATTGCAGAAAACCCTGCAATTTTCCCAACACGAAACCGACTGATTCGAAAAGCAATTCGGGAAACTTCCAAGCCGGCACGCGTTAACGGCAACCGTAGCCGGCGAACAAAGCCGTCTGTTATTCGTCACAGATGTGACAACGAGAGTTCGCTACCTCGTCGACACTGGCGCAGAAGTTAGCGTTCTCCCAGCGAATCCTAACGACCGACTTCACGAATCGACCCTAAACTTACAGGCGGCAAACGGAAAACCGATCGCTACGTATGGCAAAAGGTACGTTTACCTTAACGTGGGTTTACGCAAACCCATCCACTGGATTTTCGTTGTTGCAGATGTTTCTATGCCAATCATTGGTATGGACCTTCTACAACACCACAATCTGATCATCGACACGCGCAAACGGAGGCTAGTAGACGGAAACACTAATTTGTCCGTTTGCGTAACTTCTTTTACTGGTTGTAGAGTATCCCCAGTCACAGTTAAACATATGATAGACCCACTCTATCAACCACTACTCGATAAGTACCCTGGGATACAACAAACTCAACCGAAACTACCGTGTGTAACCAGTAATGTTACACATCACATCACGACTACAGGACCACCTGTATTCTCTAAAGCACGACGACTAGCTCCTGAAAAGCTCAGGTTAGCGAAAAACGAATTCGATCACATGGTAGATTTAGGAATCATACGACCGTCAAATAGCCCTTATGCATCTCCGTTGCACATGGTCCCTAAAAAGGACAGCAACGATTGGTGTCCAACTGGTGCCTATCGGCGATTGAATGAGAAAACCATTCCCGATCGTTACCCGTTGCCTCACATTCACGATTTGACAGCTGCCGTGAAAGGTACAACTGTCTTTTCGAAAATCGACTTGGTTAAAGCGTATAACCAAATCCCTATGGCT